AAGAGAGTAGGATGGTTTCCTAATGTGAAAAAAAGTAAGAAAACTTCTTCAAAAAAACATGCTTGACATAAAACAAACAAACTGGTGTCACTGTTTTCTCTGTCTCATCATGTGGAACAAATGAACGCACTGCAATGTGGCATGTCTGAAAAGAGACCCCCTTTAATTCTGCAGAACTGAATCAACTGACACAGGGTTTAGCTGGTTGGATATGATCTATCCAACTAGCTCAGCTGGAAATAATATACTGGACAGAATCATCATCATTATCTTTTGGAATAATGGAAATAAACCACTAAAGAAAGCCAGAAATGCTGGTGGTATGGTATATTGCCAGCAACAGCAAATGTGATTTTCTTTACTATGCACCACACATTTATTCCACATTTAAACAAATGCAGAGTGTAAAACATTAGTCGTGGGGGAAGTGTGTGCTGATTTGAAATTTTTCTTGTTCTCTGCTCACTTGTGAGAATAAAATACTCTGAATTGCTCTTTTGCCAGGCTAGCTAATGCAACGAAAGCACCGGGGAGCCAATAACATAAAGCAGCTGACCTAAACACAGGGAGAGATCATAACTCTATCCCATGCTCCACTGGCTAGGTTGTTGGACGCTGTTAAAGCAAAATTATGTTCCTTAATTAAACTGTCTCACTATATTATATGCAATTCTCTGGAGAGTAGCACTTGTGTTGAAGCTAGTGTTGTAGTCAAGACAGCCCAAACCGAGACCAAGTCAAGACCAAGACCAGTTCCCCACATTAAATGACACACATTAAAATGTGGAACGAGATCTTAGGTACTTCTCAAATTTATCTGAAAGATCCACATTCCCATTAAAACACCCACATACAAACACTTAGAGCTGAAATCAACGTAAGTATCTTTACTCAACACTTCTTTTCCATGCTTACCATCGCGGGGAGGGGTGACAGTCGTTAGCGGTAACAACACATTTTTAATTAGGGTTATTGGTTGTATTTGAAGCAAAATGTGTTACATCCAGTCAAAGTTTGGATGTTAACAAATAAATCAGACAATGCAAAATCAATTTATTGATCTTCCCAAAGGTATGGTCTTGACTGGTCTTGAAATATAATCCAGAGTCCTCAATGTCCGAGACCGAGACAAGAGAGAGTACAAATGCGGTTGAGTCCGAGACGAGACCAAGACCATTAAAAAGTGGTCTTAAGACTGGTCTCAAGACCATTCAAGTACTACAACACTACTTGATTTAACAGAAGATAATGCAAGTATATGTATATGTGATACATCCCAAAAGTGTGCAATCATTTTGTGTTTATTTAAATAAAATAGCGGTGCAGTAACTTTTTTTCAAAACTGCAGGGTTTAATATTATCCTAAATACTGTAAATGACAATCACATTATTTTTATTTCATGTATAAATGGTGAATTTAAGTGGTAATTGGAAGCAGCGCCCAGGCGGAACTTTATTCACGGGAGCAGTTGCGCACCAGGTAGCCTCAGGGGGAAACTTCTACCCACCCCTCAGATGCGATCCGGATGACTAACTGAACACTCTGTGTATTCACTGCTACTGAATCTCATCTGTATTTTACAGGTTAGTAGTTGATAAAACTTGTCAATATCGACATCTAAAAACCTAGCTTGATGTGAGTGAATGTTATAAAGATGTTTTGATAGTGTTTAGAATATTTTTGTCAAACATTAAAAACTCAGGCAGGTTCAGACGCCGCGTGGTGGGCAGCTGCCGCATCGTGGGTGATTGGGTTCATATTACCTGAGTGTACTCTTGCAGGTACAACGCTAAATAAGCGGTATCTACTTTGCACAATATTTTATTTATGCTCCTGCACATAAAATAACATGAGAATTTAAGTCAAGAATATGGTATAATGTGAAGTGCCTTATATTAATATATAATATATATTAATTATATTAATTAATAATAAAACACTGAAATGTTACAGAGCTGTACTTATTTGTTGATGAAGAATGTTAATATTGTGTTATGTGTGTTAAAGGTGAACTGTCACTGTAATCGTTATTTTTGCTCAGTGGCTTTACATTTAAAAGGTTTTGTATCATTGAAAATGTATATATTTCTCTGTATGTGATAGCTGTATTAACTGAAGTGAATTGAAGTGTGTAAGCACAGAAGTAATGCAGGTGGTATTTTGCTTGCTTTAAATACAGTTGAGTATTGCTGTAATTTGCACTATATTTTTATAGTAGCCTTGATGCACTTATTTACAGGTGGTAATGTGTACTAAAATGTTGTTTGAAGTAGAGAATTATAAGACGCACACAAGAGGTGATGTAACTACACATGAATGCGTTCTGTGAGAAGTTAATGGAACAATTGAATGGCTTGTTCACTTGAGCTACAGTTTAAAGCTGAAACAGACTGACACTCAGAGAAATGTTATGGAGTATTAATTTGTGAATTAAAGAGATGCGATCCGGATGACGAACTGAACACGCTGTGTATTCATTGCTACTGAATCTCATCTGCATTTTACAGACTTTCTCTTAGTTGCTGTGGTACCAATCCTGGGACCCGTAACATATATTAACCTCTGTAATGATGCACATTCACTATATCTAAGTAATATATAATAATAATGATACACAGGCTCTACTTTGACTCTGAACCTGCACTAAGATGTTTACCTACAACACTTTGCACATGACGACAGGTTTATGGTACACTGTAAAGTACCAGTTTAAACTTTTGAACAGGATAGTGATAGGGTTTCAATGCCCCAATGGTGAGCTGCATGCCTGCAGAGAGCAGTGAGAATCAACTGCAGCTGACAGGTTGCAGTCGTGATTGGCAGACTGCTGTAGTCATGAGGTCTGAGGGGTCAGCATGTGGGGAAATAACAGGAACTCAGAGTAGCTTTTCCCTTCAAGAGCAGTCAGGAGTGGACTTGACAACGCCTGTATCACTCTAAAGCTTTACAGCTACTTTATCAAAGGATCAATCCCACCCAATGGCCATCTTGGGCATAATTATTAAATAAAGCTTGGACAGATATGGATTACATCATACATTTGAAATTGATAATGATGTGAAAGACTCTGCTGACATTGACAATTGTGACATGAAAAGGTTAATACATATATAAAATGCAGCATAACTTATAGCCAGGGTTGGACAGATCAGCTGATTTTGGTCTACCTTTGGCTTTTAATGAATATATGAGATATTGGATCAGTGTAGATAGACTAAAGTTACTCCTTAACTACTGCCACATACAATGACATTTCATTTTCTGTGGAGCTTCATTTTTTGATAATGGGTTCGCAAAAAATTGTTTTGTTGAAAGGAACCATTGGATGCCCTGTCGGTTTTAATGACAAGTTAGTTTCCCATGATGCCGTTGTAGTAGCCGGAGAGCAGCTGCACACTGACTACTTACATTTTCAATAATTAAATGGAAGATTCCTAAATATAAAACAAATTATTTTGAGCTGTGGAAGTATTAAGACTGACATCAAACCTCAAAAAGCCACCAGTATGGTCATCAACAGCGCAAGTGACTCTTTGTTTCAGAGGAAAGACATTGTGGCATCTGGTGGTGATAAAAGATTATATTGCTGTGATAAACAACATGATTAAGGCAGGCTAATGGACAGAAAATCTGCCCACAGATTAAATATATCCATATGCCTGGAGCAGTGGAAATGCAGCTGGGAGAGTATTCCTTTGTTATCAAAACTGTTAACAGAGGACATTGCTTTTAACCTCCCTTACTAACTGCACTACCTGGACTGCAGTTGTTACAGTGTTGTAATTATCCTCAATATGGGCAAAAAGAAAAGGGCGAAAGTGGAAATAAGACTTAATGTTGTTAACAGTCTTCTACTGTGAACACTGTTTTTTACACAATACAAGGCAAAGAAATGATATTGCAGATATAATATTATTATTATTATTATTATTATTATTATTATTGAGCCAGTGTAGGGTGAAAAACAAGAAACACTCTATCCAAAAAGAAAGGTTACTACTGTAAACAACCATTGATGTCAACCTTTAAGCCAACCGTCAATGTGCATTCCTGTAGTTCAATCACAGCAAGGGGCATCCATGCAAAAGAAGATTAGAGTGGAAACGATTAACGTTAATCGATTCACAGAAAACTATTTTGATAGTCAATTAAGCGTTGAAATCTTTCAAGAAAAAATACCAAATATTCCAATGCCTGTGTCGAGGATTAACGTCAGTTAGCTGCTTTTCTTTATCTTAAACTGAATATCTTTGGGTTTGGATTGGTTTTACAACAAAATAAAGCAATCTGATGGCTTCATTTTGGGCTTTCGGAAATATCAATAGGTGACTTTCATCTGAGACAGATAACGCTGGTCTAAACGAATAGAATAAAAATCGAGATCATAATCGACAGATTAATCAATGATGATCGTCATTTGCAACTCTAACGAAGAGAATGTCAACGTTTTATTCTTATGTGCTGTTGTCATACCGTTTACACAGCAGAGAAAAAAATATCCCTGCGTTCACAAAAAAGACGTAACGTTAACGTTAGAGACGGCAGGTGGAGGAGGAGGAAAGTGATAAGACTTATTGTTGTTAACAGTCCCCTATTATGAGGATTTTCACACCAGGTACACAATAACGTTATAAGGCAACAATTATTAAATCACTAGAGTTAACCGGGTTACGTTAAAGGACAACGATCATGCTCGGGGGAAATTAAAGAGACACAAGAAAAAAAACGTTAGGCTATTGGACGTTATTTGAACGTTAACAGCCGTTTAAAACGTTAGTCTACCGTTACTGCGTATTTGATGTCAACCGTTAAATAGTCTTTAAATAGTTAGCAACTGACATTGTAAGCTAACTTAGCTAGCCAACGTCCCTGAAAATCACAGCAAGGGGGTCAAACATCAGTCGGGCTAAGGGAGATATCGTTATATCCCTCTGTCCTAACGTTACACAGCAGAGAGGGAAAATATCTTGGCGTTTACAACAAAGACGAACCGACTCACCATAGTAAGAGGGGATGTCCGTCTTTCTAGCCATGGCACTTGGTAGGACAAATGCACCGACGCCTTGGTTTTGGAGACCGCATATGAGAGTCGAGGTGAACCGCAGTTGTTTTATTGCCATGCAGCGGTCCCGTCGACAAATAAACACAGGAACCTAGAGAGGTCTTGGGCTCTTGGAGGATGCTTCGGCCACGCAGCTGAGCGTCAGTCGTGTTTACAGCGCGACGTCATTAATTATTCCAAAACGGTCTTAAAGGGGCCGCCGCCGTGGACCCACCGTGGCCGCCGCTACCGGGTATCATGTTCTCTTTGTTCGGATGTGATTTAAAGCACAAACCAATGTCGGTTTTGTTCAGTTTGCCAGCACAAATGAACACGCGTAGAATTTTACATCAACGAATACTAGAGAGCAGAGGGATTCGTACGCTGCCTGTGTCTGCATGTGGCGATTTCCAAGTTGCTTTTTTGGTTGATTAATAATACAGCCAACTCTGCAGGTAGTATTTTTAGGTGGCAGTGACATCTCTGGCCACTCTGAGGCGTCCGGTGGAGAAACACTGACCCCAGCTGGGTTTTCTATGTTATTGAAAATATTTCTCTATATTATCTCCCCCTTCAATTTAAACAGAGGCTTTAATGTTTCTTTATATGCTGCTCGGGAGGGTGTCTACATGAAAAGGGGGGATCCCTTCAAGTCGTAACACACCGCAAGTGAAGTCATGTATCATTGTTGTAAAATTCACAGGCGAGGTCTAAAGTCATTACATTTGTGACTCAAGTTTGACTAAAGTCAAAATCATATGACTTGAGTACACACATTTGGTTAGAACACTTCATTAGAAGTTTAAGAATGATGTCCTGCACACCCACACTGGCATTTACACTTTTTCTGGCTGATTTGTTTGAAGTTGGGTAAAGCTATGCCGGAATCAAATAGTAAAACACAACAAACATAATAAAAAATCAAGCACTAATAAAAATTATGAAGGTGTAACATCTCCCAGAAATGTAGATCAAGCCCAGTCTTTACAAGCCCAAGTGGTGAAAACACCTGTGTGTTCATGGGTTTAAAGTACAGGTACGGAAAATATTACATACATCAAGTGCAAATGTCTTTTATCATTTTGGGTAATCCAGGTGGCTCTCATTCTTACAGTTGTATTTGGTCATTTAAACAGTAGCCTTCAGCACATTTTATGAGTTATAAGTATGTTTTGCAGGTAAATGATTGTTCTGCAAATTAAATGATATAGATGTAGTGGAGTAAAAAATGCAATGTTTTCCATTTGAACAGTATAACAAAATACTCAAGAAGAGAACTAAATCATGCTTAAGTACAGCACTTCCTTGATTCTGGGTTTTGAAAGTCCACTATAGTCACTATGACCAGGAAGTGGCAGCAGAGACTGAGAATTGTCTGCAATAACTGGGGTATCCAAGAGCTGCAGGGTGAGATTTTCATACAGTATTAACTGTAAGTAAGATAAAGATAGAAGCATGTTTTATCTGTGACAGCTGCACCCAAAGCCTAATCAACCTGGATGTTACCTGAATAATAATTGCACATAGCCAAAAAGTATCCCTTCTTAATGACAGAATATCTAAAATGTTAATATTTCATGCATTTATGTGTAAGATTGGATTAGAGATATGGGACAGGCAATTTGTATTACATGCCAACATCATGTCTCTCTTAGTGCTTGGTGGATGAAAGTAATAAGAGCTCAGGTTGCCAAAGGCCAGTCATTAAGAAGGGATTGACTTTGCCTGGAAGAGATCATTTGTTGATGTGGTGGGATCACTGCCAGTAGCACACGAGGAGAATCAGAATTACATTATTGCCAAGTGCAATAATGTAAATGTAGAACAATTTGTCTTGGTGACAGAAGTCAGTGGTTTTCAACCTTTTATGGCCTAGAACTATTCCTACAGAGACCCACTGACGTGTCTGCCAGGCGGTGAAACAACAGCACACCATACAAAGGATTCTTTCTCTGTCCTATGTTTTTCAGGGTATTTGTAATGTATCTTTTTAACGTCTGTTTATCAATGTTTGACGCAGTTGGGTTTTTATGCTATAAATAGATTGATACCACAGCCAGATGGAAACATACTGTCAGCTGTTGTGTGCATTCCTACAATATTATTAGACAAAGCACTCATTAATCCCTCTAGGGGAAATTCAGTTTTTACACTCTGTTGTTATTATTGTGTACACATTATACATATGCTTTAACGTATGGAGAGATGTCAGAGTGAGGGGTCTGCTGTGTCGTTGTGGCCCCGAGCAGTTAGGGGTTCAGGGCTTTGTTCAAGGGCACCTTCAGCATTTCCCAGGAGGTGAACTGGTACCTCTCCAGCGCCAAACTCTATATGACTAGTCCGTCCTGGACTCGAATGGCGACTCTCCGGTTCCCAAGCCAAGGCCCCACGGACTACGAATAGTGTTTGTGCATTATGTGTTTGTATGCACAAAGCTAAGTTAAAAAAAGAGAAAATAAGTTGATGGAATTGCTGTATGTGTTGTGTAGCTGTTATTTTTTTTAAACAAATTTCCATTTTTTATATAATATACAAATGAAGTTATTATATCTGAAATTCCAGAACAAGACCACGCTTCTCTCTCTCCCTCACTAACCCAACCACCTGCGCATCACTAATTTCATCCTCCTGGGCATCTCTAATCCAATCTCCTGCACATTCGTATATAAGCTCGTCTAACCCCTTTCTCGCCGATTTGTCAGAGTTCTCACAACCTGTCCCCCTCCAAATCCCGTTTCTCTCCTCTCTCGATGGGCGCCATGGTGGTCCAGTGGACAGCACTGAGGCCTCACTGCAAGAAGGTAATCCCAGCCCTTTCCTGTGTGGAGTTTGCATGTTTCCCCCGTGAATGCTTGCCCCCCCCTCCTTCTACCAAAGGAACCACAGGGGGATCCTAAAGCAAGATGCTTATAGATACGTGCCCCCACCCTATGTCTCGGCCTCCAGGTTCCTAGCCCCTCCGGCCACCACAACCCAAATCAACCACCTTCATCCCACCCTACCTTCTCAACTCTTCATCCCTCCCCCCTTTAAATCCCTTCATCCTTCCCCATTTGACCCCTCCATCCTATCCTTCCTGAACCTTCTCGCTAACCAAATAAACTACCTCTTGTACATTAATTGGTGTGGTCTTAGTTGGTGAACATATATTATAAGGTCAAGCACACCGCCAGCAGTGGAAAGGTTCACTAATCCTTTGAGGATGGAACAAAGACAATGACACATTTCATAGGTGAATTGTGTTCCACTCTAAAAATAATTTTTTTCCACCATTGCCCATCTGCTTGTCATTCAGTGGAAATGATAGATGCCAACTGACTGTTAATTACATAACTGAGCGGGTGCACAACAGACACAGTCACATGTTGTGCTGGTTTTGTTTGCAGTCTTTCTCCTCTTTCTGAAACAAAAGGTCATTTCTATCTCTTCGGCAGTTGTCCTTTTGCAGTTTGGATAGTGAGTGAGCTTTTATTATAATCAGAGGTAGAGGGAGATGCTTTCAACAAAATCACCCTTTTTCTTTTTCATTCGGTAGTTCCAATTGCTGCAGTTGCAATCAACCCTGCTGAAAATTGAAATCCCCCCCAAGTCCAGTCAAAGAAAAAGAAAGTAATTCAGTAACGATGTACAGTCGTATAGTTTCACCGAGAAACAGAGATACAGACGGCACTAAGTGATTGGAAATATTCTCTCCAATCAATTGGATAAACACAACAACTCTGAGAAACATATTTGACACAATGGGGAACAGGAAATTGCATCTGTGATTGGTAGGTTTGCCAGCCAATGAGTCAATGATCTGTCTGTAAGCTGAGCAAATTGCACAGAGAATGAAGACGTTTTATCTCTTGGGCCTGAAAATGCAAGACAATAAGCTTGTGTCTATCTCCCGATGCTCTCTTTTTACACTCATGTCACAGCTAAAGTGCACAGTATTTGTCTGGACTGGAGAACACAATAACATTTCACCACACTGCCACCTCTGTTTTCTGCAGGAGCATTAGAGATTTATATTGGTATTACAGTTCCAACAAATACAAACTGTTTGATCCGCTAGTATTGCCCTTTTAAAAGAAATTGGTCCAGTTACTGTTTTCTCTCTCTCTATATATAAGCAGTTTGTTAAAATACACAACATCAAGATGCATTTAAATTCCAGTATAAGAGTCATACAATAGTGTAAATGCAGTTTTGTAGGTATATCTGCACTACCAGTGAGACAATTCTGGTAGAAACAACATATCATTTTGTATCTTTTGCCATTAAACTGATAAAATTCACATAAAGATTTGGTACATCATACTCACTAATACAGCTGCTTCACTTCTGAGATGTCACTGTTGCTATAAACCTGTATTTTGTGTGCTAAAATAAACTGGACCAAACTTCCATATTTAGTGAGCATCAGACAGCAATAGAGTAACATACTGTACCACTATAACAGCACTTTAACATAAACAGCTTTGTACGTTTGGAATGTACTCACAGTCCCATGACTTTTAGTTTCTTTGCAGACACTCGGAGGCATCTTCTCTTCAAGATGGGGACATTGTAATGAGTAAAAAAACTGCTTTGGGCACAGCAAACAGGTGCAAACAGAGCAGATTATTTCACACTTGCATTGTATTTGGCTCAGCAGCCGTCTGGCGCCTCACTGGATAGGATGTTTGAGTTAATTAAAAAAGCTTTTGTTCCCAGACATTTGCCTTGCCCTTGTGTGTGTGTTTTGTGTGCTCCCCGGCGCTGTGTTTTGGGATGCGTTTGAGACGTCAGGGACACCTCTAATCAAAACACACAGGCTGCCAGACACCTCATCCTCTGAATTCACAGCAACGAGGAGCATTATTATACGCTGCTCATACAGATAATTTGGTGATGAGCAAGAAAAATGGGTAAAGTCATTTTAAAAAGTGTGAATGTTACATATGGCATATATCTTTTGGAAATAATCAACATTTAAAAATACCAGCATCACAGATTTATATGAAGATGTGTATTATATGTATATAGTAGGGATAACATTGTAACATTGATCTAAACAGAGTGCAGTGAGTCATTAGATATTAGACTATTTTCATCAGTTTCTCAGCTATAACAATAGAGTTCTCTACTCTCTTTTACTGTGACATGAGCTTAAAGAAATGACAGTGTTATGATCACC